ATGGGACTAAACTTTGTTTTTTAGTGTCTAGAATTTCTTTTCAAGCTCTCTCAAGTTTTACATGGATTTAGTCCACCATGTTGGCACACCAATTTGTTGGGGGGAAGAGGGCTGCTTGTTTGTCCCAGCCATCCAGAATCAAAATAATACACCAGAACTATATTAATTAATTAATGGGCCCAATAGCTCTAACTTCTTATTAACAAACTCCTACATGTTAATTTAATCCATCTCCATTAATCTGTGCATCACTACAAGGTCAAGGCCTACCAGCAAAGTTTCAGCACGTCTATCTCTGGTGGTGGCTTCATGGAGGCTCCCCTTTACTCTGCCCTTCCTCCTCCCATCATTCAGTTTAGTTTTCCCTGCCTACCTAAGTTATATCCTATCAAGAGGCCAAGGAAGTTTCTTTATTCATTAACCAATAAAAGCAACACAGAGACAGAAGGACCTCATACACCACAAAGCAGCATTGTTTGTCATAGCCAGAACCTGAAAACAACCTAAATGCCCCTCAACTGAAGAATGGATAAGGAAAATGTGGTACATTTACACAATGGGGTACTACATGGCAGAAAAAAAAATGATATCTTGAAATTTGCAGGCAAACAGGTGGATCTAGAAAACATCATATTGGGTGAGGTCACCCAGACCCAGAAGGAAAGTTATCATACGTACTCACTCATAAGTGATTTTTAAACATAAAGCAAAGGAAGCCAACCTACAAATCACAATCCCAGAGAACAACAATGAGACCCTAAGAGAGACATACATGGACCTAATCTACATGGGAAGTAGAAAAAGACAAGACCACCTTAGTAAATTGGGAGCATAGGGATCTTGAGAGAGGTTTGGAGGAAAGGGGAGAAGAAGGGAGGGAAGTAGAGAAAAATGTATAGCTCAATAAAATCAATATAAATAAATAAATAAGAATTTGTACAGTTTCTGTACACACTCCTGCTACTGGCTTATACTTATATTCTACTGTAGTCTGGTAGGATACAAGAGATTGTCTCCTTTCTTGTACTTGTTCGGGCTTGCTTTGTGATTTATGATGTGTTAAATTTTGGGAAAGATTCCAAAGTGCTGTGAAAACAATGTATATTCCTTATGTTTGGGGTGGAATATTCTGTAACTATCTTTAAGTCCAATTGACATATGGTTGAATTTAACCCTAAAGGTTCCTTGCTGATGTTTACTTTGATAATCTATGATACTGTGGTAAAACATGAGAATGAGGCACTAAACTCTCCCAATTGTTATTGTATTTGGAACATTTTCTCTTAAGCCTGGACTGAGACAAAGTCCCCACTATTTCCACTCTCATTACATATTGTGCGTAGTCTGTCAAAGTAACAAGACAAGAGAAGGATATTAAAGGGAAAACAACAGGAGAGGAGGAAGCAAAACTATGTCTGTTCATGGGTGATATGATTCTATAGTTAATTCAAAGGTTTGACAGGCCCTACCAAAAAACTTTTATATTTACCAAGCACATTTATCTTGTAAGATACAAAACCAACATTAAAAAAAAACAGTAGCATACATAACATTAATGAACCCACTATGAAGGAAGTAAGGAAAATCTTTCCATTCATGATAGCTCCCAACCACAAAGTTCTTATCAATGAACTTCACCAAGGATGTGGGAGATCCATGCAATGAAAACTTTAACATGCTTATAAACAAAATTAAATAAGATATCAAATGATACAGAAACCTTACATGAAGAAAACACAACAGGACATGGTCACTGGCAATAAGATTCTGAACAGATCTCAGCCGGGAGGTGGTGGCACATGCCTATAATCCCAGCACTTTGAGGGGCAGAGGCAGACAGAGCTCTGTGAGTTTGAGGCCAACCTGGTTTACATGAGCTAGTTCCAGGACAGGCTCCAAAGCTACAGAGAAATGCTGTCCCCCCCCCTCAAAAAAAAAGATTCTGAACAGATCTCAATAGTTCAGATAATAACAGCAAGAAATAACAGATGTAACTGCATCAAATTAAATAACTTCTTTACAAATAAGCAGCAATTAACACAGTAAAAGACAACCAACAGAATGGAAAAACGTGAGAAAACTCATTCCCAGATACTGATCCAGGGGATTTATATACATAATATATAATGGTTTTAAAAGTTAACAACAAACTTAAAAGTAACCCAGTCCATAAGTTGGCCAATGGTCTGAATATCACAACAAGGTAAAATAAATTCATGAAATAGAGATAATATAAGTAGACATCTCGGAAATGAAAATCCAAACTACCTATGAAATTCCATCTCACCCCTACTCAGGAAGGCAGCCGTGAAGGAAACAAACAATAAATGCTTAGGATATAAGAAAAAATAAGAACTCTTTTCAGTGTTAATGAGAATGCAAAATGGCATAATACTTATGGAAATCAGTTTGAAGTGTCCTCAAAGGGCTAAAAATAAAACTGCTGCATGATCGAGATATATTGCTCATCAGTATGTGCCTAAAGAATAAAATGTCTGCCACCATGACATTATATTAGTCAGTTTGTAAAATCAGACCAAGAGTCCATTAATGAATTCAATGAAAAGGTAAATTTTTAATATAGAAATGATGGAAATCATTCAGCATTAAAGAACCTAATTACTTGATTTTCAAACAAGAATTAAAAATGTAGTTACCATAGAGGTGAAATAAAAGAGATTCTAAATGGCAAGTATTGCTTATGGAAATTAGAAGAAAAAATGACATAAAATTAACACGGGAGAAAAATAGACCCAAGGGAGAGTACAGTGGGTGTACAGAGGGCATTGTGCTGAGGTGAGTGTGACCAGAGTGTGCTATGCACAGTGAAAAAGATGTCACAATCTCGTATTTTATTCTGAAAAATTAATATATTCTAATAAAAATTCATCTTTTCTACATTTCAGAGCAGTAGGTGTGAGGATTTTAATTAGAACACATATACTAGCAGAAAAGCTAAGTACCTAAGAATAATCTAGTCAACTAAAATTCAGACATTTGGCACCTTGACCCATTTAGAAGTTACTTTTTTATAAATGTGCTCAGAGGGTGTGGAGGGCTCTGTATCATGAAATTATTCTCTTTCTTTTGCTTAGAAACCTGATCTTCTATTACAGTATTATTTAGCATGTAAAGTCTATTGTTGTGTGTGATATGTGGGCTAAAATTATACAAAGGAATAAACATTTCAGAGAGGAATCATATAATCAATTACAATCATGTAATCCACATAGTTACACACCAAACAGAAATATTCTTATCTACTTGCCAAAAGTGCCATAGAAAGTTTTTCATCACATTATTAATTTTAATTTTCTCAACCTTTAAACAAGCTGCATTTTTCTAGAAAGGAAACCCACACATAACTATTGTCAAATTGATTCATGGGGAGAATACTGCTCAATGAAAAGAAGAAACAATAGATCATTATAGTGGCAGATTACACAATCGTAAACTGAAAGGAGAAGCCCATTATTTATTTATTTGTAATATTTATTTGCAAAGGAGCAAAGAACCCAAAGGTGATACCAACAGCTGCAAGTTAAATTGATACAGAGCGATCATCTCTCCTTAAAAAAGAATGTGAGTATGACATAAAATAGGATGAATTTTTGTTTCTTACCTGATAACAGCAAACAGACATTTTCATTTTGTGATACTCTTGCCATCATAACACTATTTATTCCCTTTCTGAATGTATATAGACCTTATAAATGTTATAAATGAAAATTAGTGTATTTACATCATTATATACCTTTCAACTTACCTTAAATGCATCATTGCCCCCAAAGGAAAACAATAGAGGAAGAAAATAAAGAAAGGACAAAAAAAATGAGATAGAAAGACAGAAGGACAGGCAGGTGGGCAGACAGAAAATGACAAAAAGACAGGGAAAGAACACTGAACTAAGCGTATTGAATATGCAGTATACTAGCAGTTCCCTGCTTACCCAGGTTTGCCTCCGTTAAATTGTTAGATGGCAGAAATCTCAACATGTTCCTCCTGGCAAGCCCCTCAGGAAAAGGGAAATCAGGACCTACACACACACACACACACACACACACACACACACACACACACACACACTAATGAATTTCCTCTTCCACATCTGTCATGCAGTGATCCCAGATTTGGAACGTATTAAGCCAGATATCTTTCTCCAAAGTGCCTTTAAGACACTTGTGTGGAGGAGCTGGTAAAAAAAGAGATAGCTGGGCTAAACTGAAGTGAGGATTTTGAGTGTCAAAGGACAAACACAACAGTCATCACTGTGAACATAGCACCACTGTGCAGCTTCTTCATAGCTGAGGACTGCTACAGAATACTCAGACTGTGAAGATATGTCACGGTGCTTGGTTTATAAAGATCTGAACAGCCAGCAGCTAGTCAGAAGAGGTTAGGCAGAACCTCTGGGGACAGAGATGAATCAGGTAAGAAAGGCAATGGTACCAGTCTGACCCAGAGGAAGCAGGACATGCCAGAGTAGAGGAAAAAGCTAGGAGCCATGCGACAGCATATAGATAAATAGAAATGGGCAAATTTAAGTTATAAGAGCTTGTTAGAAAGAAGCCTAAGCTAAGGTCAAGCTCTCATAATTACTATTAAGTTCTTTATTTTGTGTTTTATGAGGTGGCAGACCAAAGAAAATCTAAGAGAGAGACTCTCACTTTTCCAAGACAGCAAGGGCTGTCACATGACCAGATGATGACCAAGGACACGGTGAGACTGGTAGTGCCATACCCTTCCTTTGTTGAAATGGTTTCTGTGAGATATTTTGGAAAATCGGATTAAACTTTCCAATGATGCACATAGCACTGAGAAGTACTTCCTCATAAAAAATAAAGCAAATGCAGAAAATGGTGCAAACAATATCAAGGAAAAGTCTTACTGATTGGTTCACACCTTGAAGACCTGAAATATAAAAGGCCCAGAATGCAAGAACTCTCCATACTGTAGAAAAGGCACCTATTATCAGGAACCCTCAAACCACTGCTGACATCATGACCAACTCCTGCTGCTCCCCTTGCTGCCAGCCTTCCTGCTGCAGGACCACCTGCTGCAGAACCACATGCTGGAGACCAAGCTGTGTGAGCAGCTGCTGCCAGCCCTGCTGCTGTGAGCCCTGCTGCTGCCAGCCCTGCTGTGAAACCACCTGCTGCAAGTCCACCTGCTGGAAACCAACCTGTGTGACCAGCTGTTGCTGTCCACCCTGCTGCCAGCCCAGCTGCTGTAAAACCACCTGCTGTAAGCCAACCTGTGTGAACACCTGTTGCTGCACACCCTGCTGTTGTGAAATCTGCTACTGCTGGCCTTGCTGCTGTGAGCCCTGCTGCTGCCAGCCCTGCTGTGAAAACACCTGCTGCTAGATCTCCTGATGTAAACCAACTCATGTGACCAGCTGGTGCTTCCAATCCTGCTGTAGTGAGTCCAGCTGCTGCCAGGCCTACTGCTCATCAACTTTCCAACTGAACAATGCCCAAACAACTGTCCTTGTGTCACACCAGTCTCTCCATGTGGGCAGAAGCTCCCATCATCCTCTGAGGCTATGAGCACTTCAGAAGCCTATCAGTCACCTTGATGGAATGCATGTCCACTCACTCTTTCTCCTTTTCTCTCTGTACGGAGCCCAGTCTGCAGCTTCTCTTCTGAACCTGGATCTTCATCTTTCCCTCTGAACAACTGAGAATGACACTTTAATTAAAATTATCAAAAATGTATGGAAACTTAATAAATTCTGGACTATTATTCATTACACATTGTCATCATTATACTTTAGTAAATCACTGATAGTATATCCACATGCTCAAAAGACTTTATTGTGCAATATAATGAAGTCTCTCTCTCTCTCTCACGTGTGAACGTGCACACATACACACACACACACACACACACACACACACAATGTTGTTAAAATTTCTTCCCAGAGGAGACAAAGCATCTACTCCTCCTAAAGTCCCACCAAAAAACCAAAGAAGGATTGCAAGAAAGTTGATTCAAAGGGACCAATGAGTCTACTGGGCTTCCTTACAGAGCACGGATGAGGGACTGCTTACAGGAGCATGCAACTGGTGGTAGGATATAGCTGGAATCTCAAGTGAGGACTCCTGACCCTCCCATCTCTCTGTGAGGGTTGTAAACAGTAACCAAGTCCTGCTGGAATGATTACAAAGAGCCAAAGCTGAATGTTTGGCTCAGACAACAGTATTGTACCATACACACACGCATACACACACATAAACACACACACATACATACACACACACACACACACACACACACACACACACACAAACTAGACCCAATGCCATTCATCAGATCTGTGGGACTATTGGAAGTAAATAGACAATAGTTAATAGCTCCCATGTCTCTTACCTCCTATCCTGAAAGAATGATCCTGTTCTTTTCTTCCCTGAATCTGACTTTCAGAAACCTCATTTGAGTGGAATCGCACAGCACTGGTCTTTCTGTTGTGCATTTTCATCCATTTATATTTGATGGGTGTTTGGGTTGCTTGTACATCTTGACTATTGTTAGTAGAATCAGCATAAACAAAAGAGGGTTACAACTTCAGCTGTCTCTGTAACTGACCTGAGGTGACCTGTGAAAATAGTTTGCCACTCTCTTGACCAAGAAAGTCTACAAAAGCATTCAATTCAAGAGCTTCAAATGAACGCAAATGAAACTGACAGGTGGTACAAAGGTGACACTGTTCAATGTGTCTATGTCAAACAGTGGGGATGGACCCGATGTCAATGATCTAAACAGAACAGTGCATTGCTGCTGTTCAGGCTTAAAAATGAAAAGACTAAGGTTAATCTCAAGGAATCGGATGTAGATTCTCAGTGCATGGACTATGTTCAGGTGGACAAGCTGCACAAGATAGACCACAGTACTTACTAAGTTCACAGTTGCATCAACTTGACACCTTCCTGTTAGACCAAATCCCATGAACAACTCCCCCACTTTGCTGACATTTTTGATGGCTTGATTTTGGGAAGGTCTTGGGAAAAGGGAAAGTTGGTTTTCTTTCGGGATGAGAGTTCTGAGGTGCTACTCATGTATGGTACCACTCTCATGCACATGCAAGCAACATTAAATAGTTTCAATGGGTATTAAATTTAAATAAAAGCCTAAAAATAATTAATTTTTTAATCCACTGAGTTTGATTTAAAAAATAGTATATGAGTGATAATTACTTGTAGAAAAACAACAACTAAAGTTCAAAACTCCCTACTCAGTGTCTAAACTCCTCTTTTTCCCTGTTTATCTTCACAGTGAACTTCTCTGTTTGGACTGGAATTGATTTACTCATCACTCCTCCCTTCATCTCCTTAACTATAGGGGAAAAAAAGGAAATTTCCTTCAGGCTTAATAGGATGTTTTCTTGTCAGTTCACTGTGGGTTTGGTGTCAGGTATGCATACTGGGACACGCATCAAGATGTGAACAAGACAGGAGCAAGACTGAGCCAGTGATCTAGGTCAGAGCAAGTCTGAGGCAGCGAAGTCCAAAAGAGCAGAACCCTGACCATGGGATACATAATTCTATAATTAAAAAATTCTACAGACTCTAACCAGAAAATATAATGACTTTAAAAGTTAAAAAAAAAATGAAAGTAACCCAATCCATAAGAGAAACAATGATTTGACAGGAAATTCATGTAAAAATAATAAAAGTCATCATCAGGGAAATGCAAATCAAAACAGCCTTTTAAATTCCATCTCACACTGCTGTAAGAATGTAAATTAACATAATACCTATAGAAACCAGTTTGGAGTTTCCTCAAAAAGCTAAAAATAAAACTGCCACATAATCCAGATACATTACTCTTCTGTATGAACTTAAGGACACCAAAGTTGATAGGAAATGTCTGCCACCATGGCCATCAAGCGACCGTTACTTTAGTCAGTTGAAGACCAAGAGCACACCAACAGATTTCATGAATCGGTAAACTCTGCAGTATATAAATGAGTGAAATCACTCTGCTTGAAAGACTGAAATGATTATTTTGCAAGAAAACTGTGGGAATTGAGTTACCATATTAACTGAAGAAAACAAGATTCAGAATGGCAAGTATTGGCTATGGACATTAGAAAAAAAACTGACATGAACATAACAGGGGAGAAAAGCAGACCTCAGTGAGGAAGCAAAGAGTGTACAGAGGGCGTTATGCTGACAGTAGTGTGATCAGAGTGTGCCTTGCACAGGGAGAAATATGTCACAGTCTAATATATTCCTATGTAAAATTAGTATATGCTAATAAAAATTTATCTTTTCTACAATTCAGAAACAATATATGTAAGGTTTTTAAATAGTTCACAAATAGTAGCAGAAAAAAATGATTATCTAAGAATAGTTCAGTCAACCCTAGGCCAGACATTTATCACCTCAACTCCTTTAGAAGAAGTGATGTTTATGGAATGTGTTCAGGCTCTATAACCTGAAATTATTCTCTTTCTTTGCTTAAAATAATATCAGCTCATACTATTATGCAGATCATTTAATATATAAATTCTATAGCATTCTTGAAGTGTGGCTAAAAAAATATAAAGGAATAAACATTTCAAAGATGAACAGTTATCCACATAGTTATACACCCAGGAGAGGTGTTCGTATCTACTTCCCAAAAGTGATGGCTTTTATCACATCTTTAACTTTAATTTACTCAAACTTCAACAAATTGCCATTTTCTAGAAAGAAAACACACACATAGATTGTGGCAAATTCATTCATGAAGAGATTACAGGCCAATGAGAAAAAAAAGAATAGATTGTTACAGGGAGGGATTCAACAATCATAAGCTGAGTGGAGAGGCCAATTATAATTTTTATTTGCAAAAAAATAAAAGACCCAAAGATGGCACCACCGATTGAAAGAAAAGTTGATAGATATCATCTCTCCTTGGAGAATGAGAAGGTGTCATTAAAAAAAATGGAATTTTATTTCTCACCTGATTAACAACAACAAGAACATGTTTATTTTATGATACCCTCTTCATCATAACATTGGTTATTCAACTTCTAACTGTATGTACACCTTAAAATGATTTGATTTAAATAAATTTATAGGTTTGCATCATTAGGCACCATTTAAACCCATTACTGCATACAAAGAAAGGCAATAGATGAAGAAAATAAAAACGGGATCTCTAAATGAGATAGAAAGACAAAAGGACAGGAGGAAGGCAGAAAGAAGAAGACAAAAAGGCAGAGAAAGAACACTGACCGAAGAGTGCTGAGTCTGCTGTCTGTCAGCAGTTTCCTGCTTGTTCTGGTTGCCTTGAATAAATCACTGTATAACAGAAATCTCAACATGATTCTCCTAGTTAGAGCCTCAGGACAGGAGAAATCAGGACCTAAACACACACACACACACACACACACACACACACACACACACACATCACTTTGATATCTTCTCACTCTAATGTATTTCCACTTCCACATCAGTTCTCTAGTTTGCCCTGATACGGAATATACTTTTCCAGATATCTTTATGCCAGGTGCCTTTGGGACACACAGGAGGAGGAACCAGAAAAGAAACAGATGCCTTGGCTAATCTGAAGTGAGAATTTTGTGTATGAAAGGACAGACACTGAACCAGTCCATCACTGTGAATGTAACAACATCAGCGTGAAGGTACTTCATCAGCTAAGGACTGTTGCAGATACTCCTTACACTGTGTGAAGATGTGTCGCTGTGGTTGGCTTATAAAGACCTGAAAGGCAAGTAGCAAGGCAGGAATAGGGAGAGCAGTACTTCTAGGTACAGAGATGTCTCAGGTAAGAAAAATGGCAATGTCGCCAGCTTGACGCAGAAGAAGCAGGAAATGCAAGAGGAGAGAAAGGTCATGGGCCATGTGACAGCACTTAGATTAATAGAAATGTGTGAATTTAACGTATAAGATCTAATTATAAACAAGTCTAAGCTAAGATCAAACATTCATAATGAAGAAAAGGTCTCTTTGTTATGTGTGGTCTTTGTTTTTCATTTTTGATTTTTGGTTTTTGTTGTGAGCAGGCAGCCCTGACTGGGTCCAGTGGCAGTCCAGACCATAAATTATTTCTCTGGACCAGAGTGGTAGCGGGGTATTAAAGGCACAACTCACATGGCTTTATCGAGAGGGAGATTCTCCGTGATGCCTCATGAAATCCTGAGCTCATGTCCTGAAAAATTTCCACCATTTATTCTCTAAACAATCTTTATACCAAAATGAAAACTGAGGGGGAAATTCATCATCATTCTGTTTCCTAGGCAACAAGTTACGTATACCTATGCCTGCTCTGTCAAGTCCTCCTGGTCAGTATGCTAGCTCAGTCAGGTAGGCTTGAATCAGCATCTCTATTCAAGCATCCTCCAAATTACAGAGAAGGAGCAAAACAACATCCTGACCCTTTGTTAGTTAACAACTGCCTGTCTGAAAGGTATGTGACCACTTCAGGTACAAACTATGGCTTGAGAGCCTGGTTACCAGATTATGTAAACTATGGGCCTACAAAACCCAAAGAAAAAATCCACTACAAAGAGGAGAGACAAAATGTCCATCCCAAGACAGCCAGGGCTGCCACATGACCAGATGATGATAAAGGACACAGTGAGACTGGTCGTGCCATACCGTTTCCTTTATTGAAAGTTTTCCTACGAGTTATTCTGGAGGAAGAAACAGATTAAGCTTTCCAATGATGCATAGCATTGAGAAGTACTTTCTTATGAAACATGTACTGAATATGGAAATAGGGTAAACAACATCAAGGAAAAGTCCACTGATTGGTTCAAACCTTGAAGACCTGACATATAAAAGGTCCAGAATGCAAGAACTCTCCATATTGTAGAAAAGTCCCCTGTTGACAGAAACTGTCCAATCACTGCTGACACCATGGCCAACTCCTGCTGCTCTCCTTGCTGCCAGCCTTCCTGCTGCACTACTGTCTGCTGTAAACCAGTGTGTGTGACCAGTTGCTGCTGTCCACCCTGCTGCCAGCCCAGCTGCTGTGAAACTACCTGCTGCAAGACTACCTGCTGTAAGCCAACCTGTGTGACCAGCTGCTGCTGTCCACCCTGCTGCCAGCCCAGCTGCTGTGAAACCACCTGCTGCAAGACCACCTGCTGTAAGCCAACCTGTGTGACCAGCTGCTGCCAGCTCTGCTACAAGCCCAGCTGCTGTAAAACCACCTGCTGCAAGACCACCTGCTGTAAGCCAACCTGTGTGACCAGCTGCTGCTGTCCACCTTGCTGCCAGCCCAGCTGCTGTGAAACCACCTGCTGCAAGACCACCTGCTGTAAGCCAACCTGTGAGACCAGCTGCTGTCAGCCCTGCTGCAAGCCAAACTGCTGTAAAACCACCTGTTGCAAGACCACCTGCTGGAAACCAATCTGTGTGAACACCTGTTGCTGTACACCCTGCTGCCAACCCAGCTGTTGTGAAATCTGCTACTGCCTGCCCTGCTGCTGTGAGTCCTGCTGCTGCCAGCCCTGCTGCTGCCAGCCCTGCTACTGTGAGCCCTGCTGCTGCCCAACCTGCTCTGAAACCACCTGCTGCTAGACCACCTGATGTAAACCAATGCTTGAGACCACCTGGGGACTCTAGTCCAGCTGCTGTGAGTTCAGCTGCTGCCAGGCCTACGGCTCATCAACTTTCCAACTGAACAATGCCCAAACAACTATCCTTGTGTCACACCAGTCTTGCCATGTGGGCAGAGGTTCCCGTTATCATCTGAGGCTATGACCACTTTTAAAGCCTATCAGTCACCTTGATGGAATACAGATCCACTCACTCCTACTGTCTTCTTCCTCTGTGTGGAGCCCAGTACTCAGTCTCTCTTCTGAGCCCAGATCTTCTATCTTCATCTTTCTCTCTGAACAACTGAGAAAAATACTTTAAATAAACTTATCAAAAATGTATGGAAGCTTAATAAATTCTGGAATGTTATTTATTGCATATTGTCTGTCCTCATTACACTTTGATAAATCACTTCTTATTAGATTCACATGCTCAAAAGACTTTTCATTCTGCAATATAATGATGTCTCTCTCTCTATCTCTATCTCTGTTTGTCTGTCTCTACCACACAGTTGTTAAAATTACTTTCCAACAGGAGACATAAACACCGTCTATTACTCCTAAGGTCCTACCCAAAAACCTGTAGGAGTAGGGCCCTCTTGTTTATCCCGGTCATACAGAACCAAAAAATAACCACACAGAAACTATATTAATTACAACACTGTTTGGCCCATTAGCTCTAGCTTCTTATTGGCTAACTCTTACATCTTAATTTAACCCATTTTTATTAATCTTTGTATTGCCATGTGGCAGTGGCTTACCAGCTAATGTTCTACCATGTCTGACTCCTGCAGCAGCTCCTTAACATCTCTTGAATCTGCCCTTCTTTCTCCCAGCATTCAGTTCTGTCTTTGCCTACCTAAATACTGCCCTATCAATAGGCCATGACAGTTCCTTTATTCATTAACCAAGAAAAGCAATTCATATACAGAATGACACCCCACATATTTCCCCTTTTCTGTTTAAACAAAATGGAAGGCTTTAACATAGTAAAATTTGAGCAAGAATTACATTTACAATATGTATATCTACTTTATCTTTTATCATAAGTACAGAAAACTATATCTATCCTTCAACTTCATCAAACACTCCATAAGGATATATTATTACCAAAGTAAACAGGAAGTGCACTGTAAGCAACTTCCAAACACTAGGATTGACAGAGACATCTCTTTACATGGACAGCCACCCAAAGTCTTCTGTACCATTGGGGCCCTACAGGACCATAGTACCCAGCAGACTTTTCCATAAAGCAGGAAATTTCAAAGACAGATCTGCCTATATTGGCAATTTGTCAGCCACTTTTTTCTGTATTTTGCAGAATGTCTCACAGACTTTTTCATGAAGTAGGAACCTAGAAGGATCATCTCACCTTTAGGTAAGTTTAGTAGTCATTTCTCTGTGGATCCTGCTTGTCTAATTCAGCAGTCCAGGTAAGAGCAATTCTTTGCCCAAATGGCTAACCAACTCCATAAGAAGCTTCTTCGATGCCCATCTTCCTCTTGGAGTAACTGGCATCTATTCCTCCTAAGGTCCCACCCAAAAACCAAAGCATAATTCCTTCAAAGTTGATTTTGAGGGATGAATGAGTTAATTGGTCCTTCTTACAAAGTATAGATGAGAGGCTGCTTAAAGGAACTTGGGTGTGCCTGCCTTAAAAGGCTACACTCTCATGTCTTTAGCTAGTAGAGATGAGAGCTTTCCCATAACTGCATAGAGACCCATCCGTAGTCTTCTCTGGACCCTCCCCATGATCTCCCCCAGTTAGAGCAGAGTTGGATACAACTGAAGGTAGGGATAGCTGGAAACTCAGGTAGGAACTCCTCGTTCTCCCACCTCCCTGAGAGGGATGTAAACAGTTACCAAGTCCTGGAGGAATGATCTCTTACAAAGGGCCACAACATTAAGATGGCACTTGTTTAGCTCAGAGGACAGTACTGTACCACACACATGCACCAAAACACACACACACACACACACACACACACACACACACACACACACTGAACCCAATATCATCCATCATTTCTGGAACAATTGGAAGTTAACAGACAATGGTTACCAGCTCCAGGAAAGAAAACTTTGTGCTTCTTTCTTCCCTAACTCTGACTTGCAGAAGCCTCATTTTAGTGGAATCACACAGCACTGGTCTTTCTATTGTGCATTTTCATCCATTTACAGTGGATGAGTATTTACATTGCTTACACATCTTGAATATTGTTAGTAGGATGGGCATAAACAAAGGAGTACTTCAGCTCTTTCTGTAACTGACCTGAGGTGACCTGTGAAAATAGTTTGCCACTCTCTTGACCAAGGAAGGCCACAAAAGCATTCAATTCAAGAGCTTCAAATGGATGCAAATGAAACTGGCGGGTGGTACAAAGGTGACACTGTTCAATGTGTCTATGTCAAACAGTGGGGATGGACCCAATGTCAATGATCTAAACAGAACAGTGCATTGCTGCTGTTCAGGCTTAAAAATGCAAAGACTAATGTTAAACTCAAAGAATTGGGTGTAGAATCTTAGCTCATTAACTATATCTAGGTGAATAAACCGCATAAGATAGGCTATGGTACTTACTAAGTTCACAGTTGGATAACTTGAAACCCTCCCTTAAAAGGAAATACCATGAATCCTTCCCCAACCTTGCTGGGGTTTTGTCTGGCTTGATCTTAGATACATCTTAACAAAAGGGGAAGTTGGTTTGTTTAGTGATGAGGGCACTGAGACCCTACTCATGCTCCAGTACATGGTCCCACTCTCCGGCACATGAAAGCAACACTAAATGGTTTCAAAGGATATTAAACTTTAAAAAAAAAAAACTTATCAATCATTGAAATTTTTATTCCACTGAGTTTGATAAAAGAAAAAAAAGGATATGAGTGATAATTGATTGTAGAAAAACAATGAAAGTTCAAATCCCCTACTCACTGTCTAAACTCTTCTTTCTCTGTTTCACAATGACCTCATACTTTGTTTGGATTGTGACTGATATACTAGTCACTACTCTCATCTTCTCCTTACCTATAGAAGAGAAAATTTCCTCCAAAGCTTCATGGAATATTTTTTGTGAGTCAACATTGAGTATGATGTCAGGTACGGAAGAGGAACACGCATCAAGTTATGAACAAATACAATGACATTGATGGATGAGCAGAGGTCAAAAAAGTACTCAGCATTGGTCAGATGGGGTCTTCCTGTTGAGATTATGAGTGTGAGGGAAAAAATAAGGAAAAAATGAAGGGAGAGAAGGAAGAAGGGAAGGACGGAGAGAGGGAAAAAGGAAGATGTTTCCAGTTTGCATTATCTAATATAACATTAAATTGTATTTATTAAATTATGTTTCTCATATAGCCTTTAGCATTTTGAAATGGGGCCCATCTACTTCTAATTCCTCTAGGATTTCTATTATTAAAACATGTTGAGCTTTATCCAATGCCTTTTCTGTACCTTTTCTAAATTATCATGAGATTTCTAACCTTAAGACTAGTCATATGATGAATTACACGTATTTATTTGCATTAGAACCAATCTTGCATTCCTTGGATGAAATCTACATGGTCTTGGTTGTTATTGTTATTAATGATGTTGTTGTTTTTGAGACAGGATCTAACTATGCAGACCAGGCTGACTTAGAATTCACTGTGAAGCACGTGCTTCTGCCTCCCAAGTACTGGGAATAAAGGCATGTGCCACCATGCCATGAGAAAGTTGCTTATTCTTGATATATGACATTCTCAGCATATTCTAGAATGCAGATTGCAGGGTAAGGGGGCATTAGGGTCAGAACATTGTGTTTATGTTCTTGGAAAATAGGCTTTTTTTTTTACATTGTTCCTCTCTGGGTTTGGTGTCAGGATAATACTGGTTTCATGGGGATGAATTTGGTAATGTTCCTTCCTTTTTAGTTCATAAAAGAGTTCGAAAAATGTTGTAGTAGTTCCTGGAATTTAATGACATTCAGCAGTGTCTATGTGCTGGCTTTTCTTTATGAGAATATCAGTCTCATTGTTAATTTTTGGACTGTGTTGTCTTTATATTCATATATTATATTTATCCATTACGCCTAAGCATTCCAGCTTTGGGGAAAACTAATTTTTGCTATATCTACTAATAATCTGAATTTCACTGGGGTCTACTGTAACTTCTCCCATTATTTTACAATCTTATTCATTTTGATATTTGCATTCCTCATTTTGATTAATTGGGATATAGGTTTGTCAATCTAGTTAATCTTTGCAAAGAATCAGCTCTTTGTTGGTTGATTGTTCTTTTAGTCTCTAGCTCATTGGTTTCTGCCCTACTTTTTGTTATTTGTTGCCAAATACTAAGTTTTAGATTAGCTGTTTGTTGTTTTCCTAGCATATAAAGGTGCATCATTAGGTTGTTTATTTAAGACTTCTTTGAGGTTTTGTGTGTGGGAACACTTGTAGCTGCAAATTTGGGAATGTGCTAAATGTTCCCCAGAAGAGCTGATATCCTGTACATTGATTCTTATTTGAGTCAAAAAAAATTTGATTTCTTCCCTGCTACTTCAATGGCCCAATTGTTCACTCAAAAACACTTCAATCTCTAATTATTCATGAAGTTTCTGTACATGCTCTTGCTATTGGTTTCTCCTTTTATTCCACTGCACTATTGAAGGATGCAAAGATTTGTCTCCTTTTGAATCTGTGAAGATTGCTTTGTGGCCTATGATATGACAACTGCTTGAAAAGATTCCATGTACTGATGAAAAGAATATGTATTTCTAACATGTGGGGTTGGATATTCTGTATATATCTATTCAGTCCAGTTGACATATGGTAGAATTTAAAGCAAATCTTCTTTGCTGAGGTTTACTCTGATATTCAGTGACATTGTGGTAAAATATGAGAGTGGGCCCCTAAACTCTCCCAATTGTCCTTGAATTGGGAACACTTCCCTTTAAAGCTGGAATGAGATGAGGGTCTTCACAGCCTCCACTCTTGTTGTGTATTGTGCTTAGTCTCAGGCAGTGCAGCAAGACAAGAGATAGCTATCAAAGG